TGACATACTATACCCTATTTGTGTGCTGCCGAGGCATCTGATCACCCGTTCGCACGCTCGAAATATTTGTTTCCAGACTGTACGTGGGCTGGTGAATCCAGTAATAAGTGATCCCAACACGTTTAGAACAGGGCACATCTTGTTGGGGAATCACCGACAGGGTGTCGTACTTGGGCTGAGAAAAATATTTTGATTGTTGATTTTTCTTGCTTCACGAGGTCGTACTTGCTCATTGTTGGGAGGGGGGGGTCGTATTTACTTTCTGGCCTTTCTAGGAGTGGTGGTTGACTTCTTCGTGATTTTCCTGTTTCATGCGTACTATATACCCCTCTGCAGCAACTATTTATTTTTCCCAAGTAATCGCTTTTACGAGTGGCGTGCTATGAATCTTGCACTATCGCTGAAATAACGGGAGCTCACCTTGATGCAAGGTAGACATGAATTTCTGCCGGCCAACTCCACCTTGCCCGAAATCACCATGAGTCCTGCGAAGAAAGTGATCTGTAAGGATCACTTCACTTTTCTGACATTGACTGACTATGGGTGGGTGTGTTCAGAACCTACCTGATACAGCCAGGTGAAGAACATGCAAGCTGAAGTCATTGCACAGAATCCTTGGACGGCAATAATGTCGGTGAAAGTTCCGACGCCGAACGACAACACCTGAAGCTTCATTTTATGCACAAATACGGCGATTTACCTTTAAGAAGCAGATATCGTTGCAGAGCAGAGACAAGCAACAAAACAGAAAAAGCAATCATTCCTTCTATGATTACGTGTGAGGGAAGGATCGTAAGAATTCGTGATATTACCATTACCATAGTACTAGTGCTGACTTTCGTTAAGAGAAACTTACGTCAGTTATAGACGTGATAAAAATAGCGACCGCAGACTCGCTGATCGCCTCCACCATGCGTTTCTTCAGTACAGAGTGGGAATTTCCTGAAAGGAGTCATCAGAACATTTTCGCCACTTCAGGGATTCGGTAGAATATAACACTTTCATTGATATCCAAGCAAAAATAAGGATTTGGAAAAGTGGTGGAGTCTGGCGATGTTAGTACTGGAATTTACCACAGATTCTCTCCTCTAAAGTCCACCATAACCTGTGGAAATGGCTTGCGAAGGCAGGTGAAAATTAGTTCTTTCCTCTGCAAACAGAACCGGTATCGATAACCTGGGCAGGACGGACGAATGCGTTGGCGGGGGCTCACAAGGATTTCGACCGCATGGGCAGCGTCAAAGCATAAAGGCTGTTCACCGCTGCTCCTTTGAACTTATAGTCTAGCAGAGTCGGAACTGCCACAAGACCTTTCTCACTAATGCCCCCCTCCTTCCTGAAGTATTAACGTCTTAGAGGGGAACACTGCATCAAAGAGGGAAGCAGTACGGTAGGCCACTTCTGCGCATGCGCAGAAGACTGGGCCTTTGAGCCAACGCCTAGATGAACCTCTGAATGAATGGAACAACACCTGACGCTTTTTGAGATGCGATACCTACTTGCACGATACTCTTTCAGACGGTAACGTTAGTGAACGGTATAAGCATGGTGTAATCAGCGAAAAAATGGGGTCGTTGGTTTGCCGATGCCAAAGATCAGTACCCGAGTGAAAGCGGTACAAAAGGAATGGCTCTCTCGACCTAACAGACCCTCCCTTGGCGAGTGAAAGCGGAACAAAGAAATGGCTCTGTCGACCTAGGACCCCCACCCCCGGCGAGTGAACCACAATCTGGTATTAAATCCCCCATTTCGATCTACGGGTATAGTGCTTGCCAGTGCCTTACCCAGATTCCATTTGCAGCGACTGGATAATTGGTGCTAGTCCTGTTTGGATGAAAACCGTGACTGCGAGTCTCAATACCACTACGAGTAATGGAAGCGACGTGGTGCAGAACAACCCTGATCATCGCAGTAATATCTTTGATTAAAGGCTCTCAATAAGCTCATCGATTGTTCCAGTTAGATTACTGGGACAGGACGGTTTCTGACAAATGGTTCGGTGACGGTCGTCAATTTCACAGGACCAGATATTTACTGGCCAGATTTTGTCATTTTTTACACATACGAGACCTAGAAGCCGTTCAAGTCAGCTTCCTTATTTATAACCTGTTACCTGTTTCACCTTACCGGTTTTTGATATCGTTGCCCTGGAGGCAACACCCGCAATTACCCTACCCGTGAGCAGTGAGCTTCAAATATGGATGTCACTAGGCTAAGTAACTCACGAGTAGTGGAAAATACATCAAAAATCATCGAAGACGCGCTAATTAGGACTGGTTCAAGCGAGAGAATCTGAATACTGTAAAGAAGAAAGAGCCCAGATATAGGAAGAAGGTTCATAAAGTATGAGACACCGTTGCCGTATAACGATAGTAAGACGAAATGATAAAGGTGGAGAGCAATCATGAAGGCGGAGATTACATACCGGGAAGCTGCGAGGTTCCTATCAAGCCCTGATGTTGCGACGGTGACAGAGTCTTGTTCTCT